GTTTATTACATCTCGGTTGGGTCAAAACATTATTCCACTGAAGAGGAGAAAAGGGGAAAATGAAACAACAACGAAAAAAGAAGAAGGGGGAATAAAAGGCCTTTTACTTACACCCCGGGCTTCAATTTCCACTGAGCGCTCCGCTCAAGAGGCAGCGCACCCTAATAGGTTACCAAAGTCTAATCGCAGCAAGTTTTCCAATTAAACTGAACAAGCCCATTCACAGTGTTTCCAACGGCCCCTTGGAGAGAAGTGGCTATCAATTTTCTGAAACGTATGGAACCAGCAATTTTGCTCTCTGTCGGGAGAAGGGGAGAGTGTGCATGTCTTTCTTGTGTTTTAAGCTCTAGCTTCAAAGTTAAGATTTACTTTCCTTGGAAGGTGGTGCCGGGCAGCATGACAAGGGGAGATTGGCCCAAAGCAGTGGGTTTCGGATACAGACACTTTGGCATCCTGTTTCCCTTTTGACTTCTTTGATTTGGGGCATTTATCACAGCCCCATTTATGGCTGATTTCCCTAAACTAGATAGGTCAGACTCCAGGATCCACGTCAAGCTGAGGATGATAGGAAATGCAATCCACCTTGTTGGGAGGGACCAGGTTTACAGGAATGCAAGATATCTTCAAAGCCAATTTAACATGCTGGTTATGAAGTCTAACGCCCCATATGACTAAGGTCCTGGGTATCTGAGAGACTACTTCTCCTCTGATGAGCCTGCCTCTCTTCCCTGATCTTCTGAGGAAGCCTTCTTGACCACACCATGGATCTATCTGACAGAAACATGGGAGATAGTTTTCCAATTGGTGGCTGCTCCCAGGATCTGGAATTTCCTTTCTAGACAGGCTGAATGCTACAGGATCCTGAAAAATACTGATGTACAATGTCTTTCATTTTCTCTGCTGGTGCCTCCTCAATGACCAACTCCCAGGACTCCATAGCACTGAGCTATGGCAGCTAAAGTGGCAAAAATTGCAGTGTAGATGCACTCGTAGTTGCCTTTGCTTTATTCAGTGTTATTGTAAGTAGCAGTGTCACTACTGTTGGTGCCACCCGGTGCGTAAAGTCTATGGTGTAATCCCTATGGAGTTCCTCCCGGACCAGATCAGACCCTAATATTGGAGCTAAAATACCAGACAAATTCACAAGAGCCACACCTAGAAAAACCCAGCTTGTGCGTGCAGGTGAAACCACGGGATTCGAGGCATGCTTCTAACAGGGTAATAAAGCCACTTCTGACTGGAGCACGCAAGCATTTAGAAGGATCAGAAATTATATTAGCATTGGATTTTAGCTTTGTAGGTATATTGATACAGGACATGGAAGCTGGGTGTATGACAAATGAAAGCCTCATCACACAAGATGTTCAACAACACTACTGTGGGCTCACTTCCAGGAGCCATTCAGGAATAAGGATGGCATTTCTACTGCATTTGAAGGCTCTACTTGGATGATTTCCCCTTGTTCTTTTTTTGGCCTCAAGGACCCTAAATGTCTAGAAATACCTACAAAGGACATCATGAGACGATCCCCATGGTTTGTATAGAGAACCTAAACTCCATTGGGAAGATACAGATTTTCATTTTGCACAAGTGGGTATGACAGGATGTTGGCCCCTTTCAGGTCTCTGATGTGGCCCTTGGTTTTCAACCATTCCCCCTCCCTCCATTTTAGCTTGGTCATATATTATTCCTTGATAAACTACAAACAGTGTAATACGGAATATATGGTTCTCACCCACCACCACATTTCTCCCCTCTGTCTGATAGGTCATAGCCAACATACTCATTTAAATTAGGGTGGAGAACTTGTGGCCCTTCAGACGTTTTTGAACTGGAGCTCCCAGCTCAGCTGGCAAGGGATGATGGGAGCTGCAGTGCCACCACCTTGGGATGACTCTCAGATCTTTCCCCACCTGATCTGCCTCTGTTATTCTAGGCCACCCGACACCACTGTCCGCGTAGGGACTAGGAAAGCAAAATCGGAAAATACTGTCTTACAGAAGCAGAAATTGCAACTGAGAGAGAGAAAAAAGCCAGTCAATGCAGAGATAAAAGCCAGCTTCACAGCATGGCTAAAAATACACCATTTGCAAACGGTAGGTTGCAGTTCAAAACTTCCTCGTCGCTGAATTTCAGAGGGCTGGCAGAATTTTTTTAAAGGCCACAAGACGCTGTTAAAGAAAGTGATCGGCAGGTCTCTCTGCAAGCGACTTCACTCAACTGCTGTGCCCCCCATTGAAAAGGCCATCTACCTCACCCCCTCCCAAAAAAACCCCTTCTGCTTGACTTCACTTGGTGAGGCCAAGCTTGGAAAACACTTGCAATAATGGCAATGCAGTAGCATTCCTGCGTGAAACATTCCTCTTGGACCTTTTAAGGGCAAACCAAGAGGTTGGCCAGTTGGATTTCCTTCTCAAGGTCCTCCAAACCATGGCCAAACTTTCCCCCAACATGAAAATTGAAATAAGATGAAATGTTAAGTTTGGACTTGATTCTATAAAATTGAGATGGTGAAAAATGGTTAAACATGGAGCCATCTGAAAGAAGAAACTAGTGAACAAAAGGTCAGGAGAGACTCTCAATAGTTGGATAGGACTATTGCGGCATGTGAAGGAGATGGTGACAGGCAGAAGTTGGCCATTGCATTGTGCTTGCGGCCCTAAAAAGCAACGAGCCCCATCTCAACTACATCACATTGAACAGAAAGCCGGGCTGTATCACCATGAAACAATGCTGGTCTCATTTTGCTTGAACCACAAGAACAAGCTCTGGGACAAACTCTGGCAAAGACAACAAGGAAGTTGTGTTACTCCACATAAGATATACAGGAGCCCCTTGGTATCTGCTGGGGTCTAGTTCCAGGACTTTCCATGGATAGCCAAATCTGCGGAAGCTCAAGTCCCATTGTATACAATGGGATAGTGAAATGGCACCCGTTATATGAAATTGGTGTGGCTGAAATGGCAGGAGGCTACAGCAGGGCAGTAAATGGACTCTGGGTTTCAGTCTGAGCTTTGGAAGAGCAACCCAAGGTGCCAAAATCCAACAATAAGCAACCAATAAAGCAATAAAATCAATCCAAAGAAACCTTGGGCAGTTTATTGGATGTTTCATAGCCCTTGTTAATATGAGGATTGCCGGTTCCTATGGATAACAGTTCCTCCCTTGGTTTGAGGCATTGTCAATTCGATCCCTTTCACCGCTAACCATTCTCTCCACCTCCCCATAGGTTTTTCATTTGAATGTCTGGGGGCTCCCTCTGCTCTCTCTTTCTAAATCAGTGTTTCTCAACCTTCCTAATGCCACAACCCCTTAATACAGTTCCTCATGTTGTGGTGACCCCCAACCATAGCATTATTTTTGTTGCTACTTCATAACTGTAATTTTGGTACTGTTATGAATTGTAATGTAAATATCTGATATGCAGGATGTATTTTCATTCACTGGAACAAATTTGGCACAAATACTCAATACACCCAAATTTGAATACTGGTGGGGTTGCGGGGGATTGATTTTGTCATTTGGGAGTTATAGTTGTTGGGATTTATAGTTTACCTACAGTCAAAGAACACTCGGAACTCCACCAACAATGGAATCGAACCAGACTTGGTACACAGAACCCCCATAACCAACAAAAATACTGGAAGGGTTTGGTGGGCATTAACCTTGAGTTTTGGAGTTGTAGTTCACCTACACCCAGAGAGCACGGTGGACTCAAACAATGGTGGATCTCAACCAAACTTGGCACGGATACTCAGTATGCCAAATGTGAACACTGGTGAAGTTTGGGGAAAATAGACATCGACATTTGGGAGTTGTAGTTGCTGGGATTTATAGTTCACCTATAATCAAACAGCATTCTAAACCCCACCAACGATAGAATTGGGCCAAACTTCCCACACAGAACCCCCATGACGGACAGAAAATACTGTGTTTTCTGATGGTCTTTGGTGACCCCTCTGACACCCCCTCTTGACCCCCCCCCGGGGTCTTGACCCCCAGGTTGAGAAACGGTGCTCTAAATGGATGCAACATCATCATATTAGTGATCGTGCCTCCCAACGTTAGGAGACCCAGCCAGAAAAATGAGACATAGGTATCATTTTTAAATGACCCTCCCCTCCCCACTGTATTGATACAGTTTGCCTCTTTGACTCTCTAAGAGTCTGGGATACGTTTTCCACGCTCGCTGTGGAACATGCATGTGCATAAGTGGGCCTATCTCAGAAAGGAGAATGTGCCCGCCTCATTCGATAGGCTGACATTGGGCATCTCTTCTTCCGTTGGCACATGCAATGGTTGGCACACATCATGCTTGGGCCCGCCTTGAACGCCAGTGACCCCTAACTTCAGCCGAGCTGACGGGGAATAGTGAGCCTTGCCAGCACTGTTATCTTCCCTTGAAAGAGAAAAATGCCCTCAGGGATGCGGTCGTGCATTTTCTCCTTGGATGCATCGATTAGCATCCGTGGGTAACAGCCAGTCGGCATTACCCCAAACTAGGCTTGTTGGTTTGGAGACAGTAAAAAACAAACAAAAAACCCTTCCCCTCACACCATCTTCCTTTTGCAAGGACACTCACACCCTGTTAGGCACAAACATTTTCTTAGATAGGCTTAATCTTTTGAAAGGGGAAAAACAAAACAAAACAAAAGAAACGGGAGCAGGAAGCCTTGGCGAGAGAACTCATCCATTGAGCAGAAAAAGGATCTTACAAATGCACCCCGGTAAAATGTCACAACTGGAGGCCGCTGTGTTCCTACCCGTCTTTGCTTTATTATTCATGGGTTCAAGTTTAAGCCATCTCTCCGGCCCACTTTCCCCACCTTTTCCTGCCCACTAAAGGGCAAATTTTCCAACATCGCACCAAGAGAGGGATATATATAGAGACCCCCATCAATAATGAATGTGAGCTTTTAAAAAAGGACTCTCCTCTAATACGAACGGTAAATGGCTCATAAAAATTGCATTGCCAAGGGAGCGGATGGGAGAATACTTACCACTTCGGCGGCAGGGAGGGGGCGGTTGTTCAAGAGAGGCCTGCCCAGGGACGGGGTGGCCACGGTCACCTCTGCAGTGCCGGTCGACTTTCGGGCACTCTTCGAAGAGCGCAGGGCATGCTTCCATTGTGTTTTGTGGCCTTCTTCTTGGGGTCGAGTGCGAGGCCTGCATGACAGAGGAATGCAACCCCATGCCATCACAAGAACACAGGGTCTTGAGGAGAGGGGATCTCCAATAGCAATATCCTCAAAATGTTGCTCCAGATGTTCCTGCATTCTGACTAATGATCACTTAGGTCAGAGTAGAGGTGGATCAGTCCTAGAGCGGCTGAATGGGGATGATCCAGGATAACACACAGCAAGTCTACCTTAGCACAGCCTTGTCCCGTGCTAGTCAAAGTCAGCACAGAATTTGGACGATCCCCTGGCTTCTGGCCTGTGTGAATGGTTGGGCCATTTGGACTGCACTTGTCTCCATTGCTACCCCATGTTTTCTGCACTTGGGTTGCCCCAGGACATAGAATGGCAGTCCCCTACTCTCTCGTACTCCATGTCACAGCAGTTTATGGCTGTGATACGGGTTCCATTTGTCAACCATCCCTTGTATTTATTTATTTACTTCTACCCTGCCTTTCTTGGCCCAAGAGGAGACTCGAGGCAGTTTACAAATCCAGCAAAAATTCAGTGCCTCACAGGTAACAATAAAACACATCTCATAAAAATATAAACAATCTAAGGATATAAACAAAACTCCTACCAATCTATCAAACAGATTAAAAACCACATATAAATGCCGAGTCATAGTCTCATATCCCCTTGCCCTAGCCAGTGTCACTGCATTTTGAATCCGTGGGACAGGGTGAGCTCCCGCTGTTAGCCCTAGCTCCTGTCGACCTAGCAGTTCGAAAACATGCAAATGTGAGTAGATAAATAGGTACCGCTTTGGCAGGAAAAGACAAAAGACGCTCCAAGCAGTCTTGCCAGTCACACAACCAGGAGGTAACAATGCAGGTTCCTCGGCTTGAAATCAGAGAAGAAAACCTTCTCCAGAACCAGAGCTGAGCCGGAAATGAAAAAGGAGAAGCCTTTGCCTTGTCTGTTTGTATGTCTCATTGTATGTGACTGTAAGGCATTGAATGTTTGCCTATGTTTGCTGTAAATGCTGTAATCTGCTCTGAGTCCCCTAGGGGAGAAGGGCGGAATATAAATAAAGTGTATTATTATTATTATTATTATTATTATTATTAGATGGCGGATAGGGATGACCCCTCTCATGGCCAGAAACCGCCATGACATGGAAGGGGTTAACAGGCAGAGTCGCCGCCCAGTGCCACTGATAAGCATTTGGCTGCATTGCGGACTCTCTCCTGCCTCCACAGTGGGTGGTGGGTAGTGATAGTGTGGCTCATACCTAGGGCCGATCTGGTGATAGTGTGGGTAGTGATAGTGTGGCTCATACCTAGGGCCGATCTGGTGATAGTGTGGGTAGTGATAGTGTGGCTCATACCTAGGGCCGATCTGGTATAGGGCTCACCAGATTGACCCTGCAGTTTCAATCAGTGTAGATCAGGCCCACAAAACGAATAACAGTGGGCTGCTTTAGATTCATCTAACCCAACCCAAGGCAACCAAGGTTTCCCCTTTATCCCCCAAACGTTCAGGGTTGTGTTGTACTATATTCCCCACATTTCAGCTGAGGATGTGCTTACCGGCTTCCGCAACTTTCCGAAAGGGAATTGGTACTCTCCGAGTCCGAGCTGCAGCGCCGATGGTGGGAGCGGTGGGATTTTTGAGAGCGGCTGTGGGAGCTTTGGGAGAGAAGGGAAGAAACAAAGGAAACCACAGAGACACATGTGTCCGTCATTAATCTGCAAGTGTCTCAAAGGCCCGTAGATGATGGGACGAGGGACTTAGAAATCAGGCTTATGAATGGTGAAGGGCAATCAGACCTTTGCAACATGTGGTTGATAGTTATGTTAAATTCATAAAGGTGTCATTTCAAGATGTGGGATGGTAAATCTCAGTTGTCCAGTCATGAAGACTGTGAGCGTTGTTTACTAGTAAAAGCAACAACCAAGTCTATGGGTGCGGTTACACTGTGGAATTAATGCAGTGGAACTACCATGGCTCAATGCTATGGGACCCTGGGATTTGTAGTTTGGCAAACTATAAACTTCCAAGATTCCCTAGCACTGTGCCATGGCAGCTCAAGTGGTGTCAAACTGCATTAATGCCACAGTGCAAATGCACCCCATGTTTCTAAGCTCACTCCAAATTGTCTGCAGGCAAAAGCCTAAGGGCAACGATGCACATTGAAAGTAACCAGTTCAACTTACTGTTTCTTGTGTTTTTTCTCCTCTTTCCGTTTGCTTTTGGGGCTCGAGGAACTAAATGAGAGAGAAGCAAGCAATTGTTAATTTCTGTTTTGTTTGTTGATGGTAAACATTGCATGCTCATCTAAGGGAAAGCCTTCATGTCTTGGTGGGGTTTGGATGACAATAATAATAATAATAATAATAATAATAATAATAATAATAATAATAGGTTAGGTAAAAGTAAAGGCTTTCCCCTGACATTAAGTCCAGTCGTGTCCGACTCTGGGGGGTGGTGCTCATCTCCGTTTCTAAGACAAAGAGCTGGCGTTGTCCATAGACACCTCCAAGGTCACGTGGCTGTCTTGACTGCATGGAGCGCTGTTACCGTCCCGCCGGAATGGTAATTATTGATCTATTCACATTTGCATGTTTTTGAACTGCTAGGTTGGCAGAAGCTGGGGCTAACAGTGGGAGCTCACCCCGCTCCCTGGATTTGAACCTGAGACCTTTCGGTAAGCAATGTCAGCAGCTCAGTGGTTTAAGCCACTGCGCCACTGGGGTCTCCAATAATAATAATAATAATAATAATAATAATAATAATAATAATAGTTTTATTTCTTACCCGCCTCTCCTTGTTGCTTGAGGTGGGTTACAACATCACTATAAATAATGATGTCCATCGACATCCAGTCCCCATCAAGTTGGGTGGGGCTGATGGGATTTGTAGTCCAACACATGTGGTGGCCACTTTGCAAGGGACTTAGGCAACACCGGATGCATCTACATTGTGGAATTAATGCAGTTTGATATCACCTGAACTGCCAAGCTTCAAGGCAATACTATCCTGGGAGTTGTAGTTTTACAAGGTCTTGAGCCTTCACTGCCAAAGAATTCTGGTGCTTTACCAAATGATTTCAAGGCAGTGAAAGTGGAATCAAACTGCATTTATTCTACAGTGTAGATGAACACTCAGACACTTTCTCGAATTATCACAGTACAGCTCTTTGGCCAAGACAAATCAAATAATCCCAATACCCATGACAGTTTAAAAGTGGTACTAAAGCACTCTAAACTGCATTGTGTGAACACACCTATAGATGGCCAGTTTCTCCTATTGACTATTCTAGCCTTATTCAAGGTCCAGAGCCCTTATTATCCTTACCTGTGCCTTCTCTTCTTTGACGACAACCTGCAAAATAATACAGAATTATTTTAAATCCATGTTTTAGGTGTGGAAAAATATTCAATATTTGAAAAATTATTAAAAAATACATTTTTTGAGTCGAATCCTGGACAAATGTGAATTTACACAATCTGAGGCAGGTTCTGTAAAAATGTGCATGCTATTGCTTGGTACAGGAAAGAACATTTCTATTTTGAAATAGTATTTCCTACACAGAAAACTTTGGAATTGGGAGATTATTCTGTGCAAAATTCGCACACAGTTGATTTGCCTTGAAAACAGCATTTTCTGCACAGGAAAGTGCTTTTACTGGATTGGAAATAATATTTCTACAATTACTGATATACTATCTTTCCAGTGTAAACAAAGGCAGTTCCTGTGCAGAAAATACTGTTTTTGTTGCAGAACAACCAAGTACGGGTTTTGCACAGAATAACTCCCAAACTGCAAAAATTCTCATGTTTTGAAAGCTGTTCGGAGAAAAAGCATAGAATGGCATACCTGCTCCTTTTCCTCTTCTTGGAATTCTTCTTTTTCTTCTTCTTCTTCAGAGGAGAGATGCTGCAGGATGGAGACCTAGTGAGAAGGCAAGGGGAACTTGAATGACACTGCTATGATTCCACTTCAGCTGCCATGGCAACACCCCAAGCATTCCTGGGATTTATTTATTTACTTACTATATTTATATCCCGCCCTTCTCGACCCCGAGGGGGACTCAAGGCGGTTTATAGCAGAGGCAAAATTCAATGCCTTAAAACAATTTAACAATTAAATAACATTTAGTTAAAAATCTAAATGAGGCTAAAAGCAATTAAAACATAAACAATACCACTTACAGCTATAAAATCACGCTATCCACAATCAAGGTTGGGCCATTCCAGTGATCGTTACACATAAAGCCAAGTCATCTATTGCATTGTATTAGTTGTCGAAGACTGTCGAAGTTGTCACAAAGCCATGTTTTCACCTTTTTTTCTGAAAGTCAGGAAGGAAGGGGCTCATCTAATATCACTGGGGAGGGAGTTCCATAGCCAAGGAGCCATCACTGAAAAGGCCCTGTCTCTTGTCCCCAACAACCATGCCTGCGAAGGAGGCAGGACCTGTCAGAGTGCTGCAGAAGCTTTTGAAGCTCTGAATAAATGGACGCTTGAGACTTCAGTATAAAACAGATATTTAGCTTTACTAAGCAGCTCAAATATACAGCATGCACCATCAGTAGACAGACAGGAACAAGAAGGAACGACGAACACATTCACTGAAGCTATAAGGACTTATCTCTGTATCCTCCCTACTTGCTCAAGGTAACACTCAGGGTCACATCTTCACAGCTTATTAACTCTACTGTTTAACCCTTTCTGTAGCAGAATACTCTGGCAATACAATCCTGTTACAATCATAGCCATTGTACATAAAATTACATTTAAACACACACTATACATTAATCTTACACTGACAGGACCGAGAGTAGGACCTCTCCAGATGATCTCAATCTCTGAGATGGTTCATAGGGGGAGAAACATTCGGACAGGTAAACTGGGCCAGAACCGTTTAAGGCTTTATAGGCTAAAGCCAGCACTTTGAATTGTACTCGGTAGCAGATTGGCAGCCAGTGGAGCTGACACTACAGGAGGGTTGTACGCTACCTGTGTGTTGCTCCGGTGAGCAATCTGGCTGTTGCCCGCTGGACCATTTGGAGCTTCTGAACAGTCTTCAAAGGCAACCCCATGTACAGCGCATTGCAGTAATCTAAGTGCAATGTAACCAGAGCATAGACCATCGTGGCCAAGTTAGAAACCTGGGGCTCCAGGCTCAGCGATGAGTCTAGGAAAACTTCCAGACTGCAAACCTGCATCATCGGGAGGAGTGTAACCTTGTCCAACACAGGCTGTAACCCTATACCCTGTTCGGCCTTATTACTGACCAGGAGGACCTCTGTCTTGTCTGGATTCAGTTTCAATTTGCTTGCCTTCATCCAGACCGTCACAGTGGCCAAGCACCAGTTCAGGACCTGAACAGCCTCTTTAGTAGCAGGTGGGAAGGAGTGACAGAGTTGGACATCATCTGTGTACAGGTGACACTGCACCCCGAAACACCGGATGATCTCTCCCAGAGGCTTCATGTTGACGTTAAACAACATGGGGGACAGTATTCAGCCCTGCAGGACCCCACAGGACAAATGCTGCGGGGTCAAGCAGGTGTCACCCAACAGCATCTTCTGGGAACGATTCTCAAGGAAGGAGCGGAGCCACTGCAGAACAGTACCTCTGAGACTCATTCCCGTGAGATGCCCCAGAAGGATACTGTGGTCAATGGTATTGAAGGCTGCTGAGAGGTCCAGCAGAACCAACAGGGACACACTCCCCGTGTCCAGTTCTCGACCTAGATCACCCACTAAGGTGACCAAGGCTGTTTCAGTACCATGCCTTGGCCTAAAGCCAGACTGCACCAGATCTAGATAATCCGTGTCTTCCAAGAACGCCTGGAGTTGTGAGGCCAGGACTTTGCCCAAAAAAGGGGAGATTGGAAACTGGCTGAAAGCTGACAAATTGAGTGGGGTCCAGTGATAGTTTTTTCAACAGCGGTTTTATAATAGCTTGCTTTCAGCTGGCTGGAATATTGCCTTCCTGTAAGGAGGCGTTAACTACCACCTTCACCCACTCTGCCAAACCCCCTCTGGCTTCTTTTATCAGCCAGGATGGTCAGGGATCTAGGATGCATGTGGTAGCCCTTATAAAGATATTGCTATTGATCAATCCCGCATCGCTGCCACCAATATAAAGATATCGCTATTGATCAATCCCGCATCGCTGCCACCAATCTGTAATGCAAGGGAACACTCTAGCTGCCCAAAATATTAAAGGTGTTTTTAAGACCACCAAGCACTGTGTCTTATTATTTATTCTTTAAAAAAAAAAACAGTTGAGGCTGTTTAAGGAACTATAGCCACAAAGGCACACTTGACTCAGGCTTTTAAAATTTTGAATAATCGATGAACGTTTATTGATAAAAACACAAGAAAGTAAGTGCTGTTTAATATCTTGGTTGTTACAGAGAAATTTTGGTTTTTGTCTTGAAATGCGTAATGGTTACATATAATGGTTCTGTCTTTGTTACAATACAGATATTTTCTTCTCTTCCTTAACAAGCAAACCTAACAGGAACTGAATCTCTGTCAGGATGAATTCTGTAGCTTAGCTACCCTAAACTATGGCCTAACTAACTACAATCCAGCTATGTTTCCCCCCATAGCTGTTCCAGTTTGCTTCAGCTGACTTTGCTGGCAAACCTATGACAAAATGCCTTCTCCTAAACTATCTCAAGCACGACCTTCTCAAACACCCTTTCTCTCCCTCTCTAAAATGGTGCCTTCCCTGATTTGAAATGGCTACTGCTGCTTTTGCCAGGCCCACCTAAGCTGCAACCTAGCTGGCAGACTTCTTCTAGGCCCTGCCATCCAGGCTGAAAAAGGTAAGGGATCTTTACAGCCCTCACCTCTCCAAGAATCTTGTCCACATCCTCGGGCTGCAATAATTGGAACAAACCAATTAAAACCAGACAAGCAGGGATTGGCAGTATAGGAAAGGTGCATCTACACTGCAGAATGAGTGTAGTTTAATCCCACTTTAAATGCCATGGCTGAATACTATGGGATCCTGGGAGTTGAAGTTTGGTGAGGCGCCATCCCTCTTTGGCAGAGAAGACTAAACACCACGGGAAACTACTAATTGTGGTTCACCACAATTCAAGAAGGCTATTGACAGGATCGACTTGAACCAGAGAAGAGGGTGGTTGTGGGTGCATCTACACTGAAAGATTAATGCAGTTTGGTGTCACTTTAACTGCTATGACTGGATGAAAAGTACAACCACACCTCCCAGGATTCCATAGCATTGAGCCATGATGGTTCAACTGGGGTCAAACTGCACTAATTCTGCAGTCTAGATGCACTTAGAATTCAGTTTTTATTAAACTCTGCTCTCCCAAGAGTTCTGGACTCCAGCTCCCAGAATCCCTTATCATAAGCCAAGGCAACTGAGGCTTCTGGGAGCTGAAGTTCCAAACACCCAGAGAACTCGTGTTTGGGAATCACTGGTCTACCTTTTCAAACTGCAAATCCCGGGATTCCAAGAGAGGTTGCCATGCCAAAGTGGAATACAGTGCTATATTTGCAGGTCAAGGTATCCATGTGGGATTAGTAGTTTGGTGAAGCACATGTGCTCTTTGGCAAAGGAAACTAAGGACTCCCAGTACTCCATAGCATTCAGCCATGGCAGTTAAAGTGGTACCAAACTGCATTAATCATACAGTGTTGATGGACCAATAGCCACTCCCTTCTCTGGTTCCATTCCATCCTGTCAATAGCCTTCTTGAATTGTTCTGCGTCACAATGAGTAGTTTTCCAAGTCCTTTCATTTTTTCTGTCAGAGTACTACTGCCTCACCAAACTCCAAATCCCAGCATCAAGGCATGGCAACTCAACTGGGGTCAAATTGCATTAATTCAACAGTGTAGATGGCCCCCAAACTCAGCCATCTTCCACTCACCTCCGTCTCTTCTTCCGCGTAGATTTCTTCTTCTTCTTCTTCCCCTTTGGAGGAGGCGGTGAAAATTCCTCATTGTAAGATGGGCTTAGGGAGATGAAAGGAGAAGAGAGAAAATACAATCAAATACATTACATTTGCCCGTGTCAATCAACGTTTTGACAGGTCGGATCCCCAAAGTACAGTTGTCTGTGACGGATGGTGTTTTGTGGCAAACGTGCAACGCAGGGTGAATGCTTAATTGTCACGTTCTGGCTAATTTAGTCATGCTTGAAATTAACTGTCTCCTCGAAGGATTTATTGCTGATCTAATGAGAGAGTAACTGTATGTTAACTCACTTGGCGCCGAGTTATTTAAGACATATTTATCGAGGTTAACAGCTTCCATAATAGATTTATACATTTGGCTTCCTTGCGTAAATATATATTAAAATAAATTAATCGGAGTTTAATTCGTAGGGCAAGTGCAAGCACCCCACTGATGTCTTTAAAATATATATGGATTAGTATGTATTTGACATTGCCATTGATTATTTAAATGGTGTATTAAATTGCAATTGACCAGCAAGAGTCCCGTGACAATTTAAAGCAAAGGGGTGTAATTGGGCCGAGTGGAGAAGAAGAAAAACTCAAATAAAAGTTTGTTGGTTGGCAATTTGCATCCTATTTAAAGGTTTTGAGTGACCTACAATTTCAAACTGACACCCCAAAATGTCTGAGAACCTGAGAGCTTTCTTCTTGGTCAGACCACACCTGGAATACTGTGTCCAATTCTGGGCACTGCAATTGAAGGGAGATGTTGACAAGCTGGAAGGTGTCTAGAGGAGGGCGACTAAAATGATCAAGGGTCTGGAGAACAAGCCCTATGAGGAGCGGCTTTAAAAACTTGGCATGTTTAGCCTTCAGAAGAGAAGGCTGAGAGGTGACATGATGGCCATGTATAAATATGTGAGGGGATGTCATAAGGAGGAGGGAGCAAGCTTGTTTTCCACTGCCCTGGAGACCATGACGCAGAACAATGGCTTCAAACTACAAGAAAGGAGATTCCATCTGAACATTAGGAAGAACTTCCTGGATGTGAGAGCTGTTCAGCAGTGGAACTCTCTGTCCCAGAATGTGGTGGAGGCTCCTTCTTTGGAGGCTTTTAAGCAGAGGCTAGATGGCCATCTGTCATGGGTGCTTTGATTGCGATTTTCCTGCTTCTTGGCAGGGGGTTGGACTGCATGGCCCATGAGGTCTCTTCCAACTTTATGATTCTATGATTCTAAGATTCTATCTTAGCATGGGTTTTCTGAAACAATAATGTATTTCTCCCCATTTCCCCCAACTCCAATAATCCAAAGTAGATATCCATCTTTGGTGGTCTAAGCTCATCCACACTATAAAGGGCCGAAATGCGTCTTCTCTGCCTATATAATGAATGCAGTTTGCTACCACTTGAATGAGTATGGCTGAATGCTATGGGCTCCTGGGATTTGTAGTTTGGAAAGGCTCTTGAATTCTTGGGCAGAGAAGGCTAAAGGATCTTGAATGCATCTACCCTGTAGAATGAATGAAGTTTGACCCCAGTTGAACTGCCATGGCTCAATGCTGTAGAATACTAGGATTTGTAATTTGGTGAGTTGCCAGCATTTCTGGGCAGATAAAGCTAAAGACCCTGGGAAACTACAACTCCCGGGATGCCATAGCATGGAGCCATGGCAGTTCAACTGGGGTCAAACTGAATTCATTCGATGTCCCCGTTGATATACTACTGATTCAGTGAATGGGCAACTGAATTTAGGAGTTGGAATTAATGCAATTTGGCACCACGCAAATTGATGTGGACCATTCCTATATGGGCATTATGCCAATTTAAGGTGCCACAAGGGTCACATGGCTAAGAAAAATAAACGCAGTAGGCCAAAGAAGTGGGAGCCATGCTCCACATGAAAGAGCAAAAATTCGGAGTGTCTGCCGAGAGCCACATTTTTGTCCCTTTGTTCAGTGGGCACAGCTCTTCATCAGGGCCGTATTGTCCTTTTGTTCAACACCACACTTATTTCTTTTTCCCCTCCAAAGAGGTTTTCAAAGATGCTGAGAGAGGCCTTTTCGGTGAACCAAACAGCACCTGCTGTGGGCTTCTTCATAAAGGGCCGCGATGCGCCTTCTCTGCCTTTATCTACATTGAGACTCAAGGACGAGGGTTACAAAGGACCCAGATGTCTTTCTCGAAATCACGCCTCCCCCCTATTTTTAGAGGCCGGTCACAGCGACACACATTCCTTTTCTTCTGAACGGCACAAACCCAAATCCTGAGAATGAGGTTTCCTCTTTTTTATATGTTTTAAGGTCATTCTGGAGATCTTATTGGCCTGCGACCACATGAGTTGACTAGGTCATTGGGTGCATCTATACTGTAGGATGAAGGCAGGTTGACTGCATGTCACCTGCTGTGGCTCCATACTCTGGAATCCTGGGAGTTGTGGTCTGGTGAGGCACCAGAACCATGTAAAACTGCCATTCCTAGGACTCCAGAGCATTGTGCCATGACAGTTCAAGTGGTGTCAAAATATATTTACTTTACCATATAGATACCCAAATCTGTGTATGATTAAGGAGATTATCACCCAGCATTGTAAAAGCACTGTTAAACTGTCAAATCCTGGGATTTGCAGTTCAGGGAGGGGCCATTCAAATTCTCAGCCAGAGAGATCCTGGGCCTCACTAAACAACAAACCCAGAACTCCAGAGCAGGTAATGTGGAATAACAGCACTTTAACAGTGCAATAATCTCCAAAGTCCCATGCTATGCATTGTCATCATAAAACAGCGTGCCTTATATAAAATGGCAAAAATTGCTTTTTGGAGTATTTTTAAGATGTGAATTAATCAAACCTGCGAATAATCTGAGTTAAACCCGCAAATAATCTGTGCTTAACCCGCTAAACCCCCTCCTTTGCTTTTAAATAATGTTTGCCTGGGTGTAAAAAAAATTCCTCGGTCCAAGCCTACGCAGTGCCTTAACACGCTGTCACAGACTATTTCATAATTGCGCTTCCCCAGCCTTTTTCTAACAGTGAGGCAGGCAATTCCATTTGAAGGCAGAATCTTTGAAAAAGCAGGCTGCTGGGGGGCAGCGGCGGGGGGGGGGGGGGGGGGGGGGGGGGGGGGGGGGAAGCAACGATGCACCGCAGGGAGGTAATGGTCTCAGGTTTTCTTAGGGCTGATATGAGCCTCTGCAGAATGGTCCAGGCATAGTTTGGATATATTTTTGGAATTCGACTATCGAGCTAAATATGTCCCAGAGGGGAAGTACCAAATAAAGAATCCCTTAAGCAAATGTTGTTTTGTCAAGTGTTACTATCAAGTGAAACATGCCAGCTCCAAAGTCTGGTCTTTGGGTTGTGTGGAACTGTGATGTTATTGCTCTCTGATAGAGATATCGAAATCCCTCAATGAATGACATATCTCAGACTGGAACTGTGATGGTTACAGTGGTATCAAACTGTGCTCATTGTGTGGTGCAGATACTGTACTGTCCTGGGGTTATTATTCCACCGAGCATTGGGAGGCAAACACACCTCCAAGAAACCTGCATTTAAGTCCCCATACAAAAGATACTTGGTTGGCCCTATTTATCCTCGCCATAAATGATATACTGTAGTAGTCCCTCCACATTTGAGGGGTTTGGGCCCATAGAGTAACATGCCCAAATTCTGCCACCAACCTGGAGCAACCTGTAGGCCCCAAGTATTACCTTCGTGATCTGTGCCTCACACAGCCATTGGTGCTTGAAGTCTCTTGAACCGGATGAGGTTCCCTGAAGGATTTCTCCCCAGTTGAAAGCGACAGATAGCTGGGCGTTTCGACACTGTAACACAAAGGCAGAGAAAGATATGGAAAATGAAAAGGTGTCCATCTGTTGGGTCAGCCCAAGGCATTTTGTAGCCTTGCTGTTTCTCCCATCAACCCAAATCAAGGTACAAACTACTGAAAGGCTATTGCTCATCATCCAAGTCCAAAAGGGCCAAAAGGGTCAAAAACGGAGCAGTTGCTGGCCTACCACTTACTTTTGGGTTGTGTAGCATAGGTTTTCTCACATATAGAGGTATGCTGTCATTGCGCTACACCATCATATGATGGTGTGTTTGCAGCCGGATGCACAACTGCACATATCTCAGGCACATATCTTCATGTGCAAGGGCATAACGTGTACAGCTTTGCTTCCGCAACCTTGAATTGAGTCCTGGAACCGTCTGCACTGCACCAAAATACTGCCCCTGGTTTCCATTCCCCTGTTTTCCATCAAAGGCCTCCTGCAGGCCTTCTATGACACCTGAATGGACCATTTGGGGGCATTTCTCCTTGATTATGCTTCCTGCGGGGAGCTTTGCGATAATCCGTTCCTTTCAGATTAGAATAATCGTTTCTATGAAATTGCCCGCATGCAATTCCATCCCAAACATGAAAGTCCGCAAAGGAAGGGAGAAAAAAAAAGGCAACGTTTGCAGCCACCATGCCAGTGACGTCCCAGGAGCTCAATCTGAACGGATCACCATGGGCCCCCACCCCCTGCTTAAGCTCCAGAAGCTTCAGAAATCAATGAAAAAGGATATTGGGTTGAAGGAAAAGCAGGCTTTGATGGGATTGAAGGACAATTATTGCCATCAATAATTGCTTTTGGCCCTGAAGGACTAGTTCAGAGCATGTTCCAGAGCTTTCGCACGGCATTGTCCCAGTTAACCCTGAAATGAAAACCTAATGAAAAACAAGCTGGGAAAATGGTACCCTAAACCCAAAGTCTCTTTGAGAACCATCCAACTTTTCCACAACATTGGATGTCATAATTTAACTTCACACCGGAAGCTGAAAAAAGAACAAACAAGGGAAGAAAGAGACTGCTATTCTGGCGAACATTGGAAGCCAACTTTGCAATCTGCTCTGGTCTTAAAACAGTAATGAGAGAAGCACTTTGACGACTAATTAGATCTGAAGCAATAGACTTCATCTTCCAAAGCTGGTTATACCTTTAACCTTATCTTTCAAAATAAAGAGCAATCAAACCATAACCATAATCTATGGCAATAAAAGCAAATGTGTATCTAGCTGTCTTTAAGCTTGAGAAACCGAGCTTGCTAAAAACTGGGGGCAGATGTGAAGGGCCCCTGGAAGTCTGTACTTCAATATTTATAGGAAATCAGATTAATCAATTTTTATTTTTTACAATCTGGCTGTACTTCTTTTGGACTCTATGTGTCACTAGTCATTCCAAAAGGTAGGCCTGAGAGACTGATCTATTTTGCACAGGAAAGACGATTTCTGTATCAAAATACTATTTTCTGGGCAAAATAATTCTTTGCAAATTTTAGGCAGAATTAGTCTCGAATTGCTGATAGTCTGTGTGGTTTTCAAAGACGTTTTGCAGCGGGAAGAAAAGTACTGAAATTACTCATTGATACACACAAACACATACACACAAGTGTCCCCTGCTTTTCGATGGTTTGCTTGTCGATTTTCAAGCATTTTCCATTATTCCCAGAACTCATATGTTTGACATGTGGGTCACTATTTTGTCATGTTTGGATGACACTTTGTCAACTATTTTCTCCTCTCAGTTGACTCGGCACCATCTTCTCATTTAGTTTGAGTATAATATAAGAGCTGTTAGAAATTGTGCAATATGTTTGCAATAAAGTATTTGTGCTCATAATAACTGGGTTCCACATTTCAACCATTTCCACTTTCTGACAGTGCCAAATAGATGGGGATCCTTGTATATCGTTTTATGCTTTGCTTTGTCCACTTACTTTAATTAACTTGTTCTATAGAGCTGGTTGGAAGCCACAATAAAGATGGATTAATGGTTTGACTGATTGATTTATGGATAGATACACACAGCATCTTTGAAATCTATACTTCTTGGAGGAGGGGGATGTTGGGACTCAGCAGCATGATGATGGGGATGCTGGGGATTCTGCCTCAGAGGATGAGGGGAATCATGGATTTTTCACTGTCTGTGTCTGATCAGGCTGAAATACAGACATAAATGCAGGCCATAGATCAAAGAAATGGGCAGGCAGCTGCAGAAGAGATAAAAGATGTTTGGAAATTTTGTTTCTCTTGAGAATTGGACTTCTCAGCCTTCAAAAGATGGGGAGAGTTACCCCGTGATATGAGATCAGGTCTCCACTCGGAGAGAGCAAAGGAAAGGTTAAATAGAAGGTCGGAAAGGCTCTGTGAGAAGAAGTCCTTGAAATCCAGGTGCTGTAGGGATGATCTCATGACTGTTTGGTCAGGTTTGAGCTTAAATTAAGTGATGTTCTCCTGGGCTCTTTAGAGCAGACAATGTTGCCTTGAAATCAAGTTCATGTTCAGCTCTCAAGTTTGCCTTTGTTCCTGAATGAGTTTTGTCATCGAAAAGTTCCTGTTTTCATGCCTATGGATTTATGCCTATGCTCTTGACTTCATGGATTTCATGTACCTTGCCATCTTGGACTATTGATATTTGTAAATTTGAACTATTGCCATTTCATAGCACCTTTTCTACTGCTTTTGGGGGAAATGCCCATTTTCCCTTTTTGTATATGCTTTTTGTAAATAAACTGCTGTAGTAGCTACTATTGGAATCTGTGTGGTGCTGGGTGAAAAGGTGTTGCTGGCCTAGAGTGCAACAGGGGAAGGAATGGCAGAGCATTGTGACTTGGATCAACCTTGCAATCCTTCCTCCAAATGGACACATTCCATGGTTTGCCAGGTCCAGCATGACCCTGATTTTGCCTGTGCCTCAGATTTAACTAATGCATCCTAATTGGGCATTAGCACAGATCACCGGTTCGGGAAAACATTGCCGAAATTGATTCGCAAAGGCCGGGTCTCGGAAGGGTTTTCCCTTTTAAATGGAGCGATCACAGAAGGTCATGCATGCATTCGCTCGAACAAGACAGCCAGGGTGGAATGTATTTTGGAGTGCTTTTGCACTCAATTAACTCAGTGAAAGGAGGAGAGCAAAGGGTAAAATCTTGCCCTTCCCAGGAGCACCAGGCAAAAGCAAACTTCTGGTCTTTCCCAAATGTGTCACCTCTGCTCTGTAACCAGCCATTTTCAGGAAACATTCCTGGGGAGGGGACTTTATTAGCAGCTGAAAACCCAGGGCCTTCTATAGACTCATTCCTCAGTAGGGAAATCAATTATGTTAAAAAATATATTAGAAAGGAGGCACAACGCTTGCGTTAAATATAGCACCTAATGACTGAAGGTGGGTAGTCGAACTCATTTCCTCTGTATAAAGATTGGCGGCTTGGAAAGAGACGTCTGTGTGACTCTGGCTTGAGCAGCAAGTTGTCAGTTGCATCTGGAAACCAGGTCTAATAGCTCTGTGTTTGCGATGGCTTGGCTCCCCAAAACCATCAAGAAAGACGGAGGCTTTTCTTACTTATCGCTTTTCCCCGGATGGTGGGTTTATTGTGCGGAGATGAGAGAGAGAGAGAAAGGAAGAAAACCCACAAAAAACACCTCAGGTTTATGGACAAAACATGATGAAATGCCTAATCTAGTCTCCTTTGCAGGCTGCTGGAATTAGGTTACTGCGAGAACATAAAGCTCCAAAGAAAATAGCTTGAATTGCAATCAGTGTCAACCTACCTAAGATATAAATTACTTGGAATGGGATCCTCCTCAGTCATTGTTCTCTTTTCCTGCGCTATGTTTCCTCTCCCTCCTTCTCCCTCCCTTTCCCCATTCAACAGAGGCAGAATTTAATACTTCACTACCTCCCATGCCATCTGTAGGACATAATACAAGGCAATCAGTTGGCATCTCATCGGCGACATAGGCAGACATATCTTCCCTTGTGAAGGTGGTTGGACCTTTTCGGCCATTGCCTCAGGTCTCTTTTTGGCCAAAGACAATGAAAGGAGAGTTGGGCATATTCATTATAGGCTTGTTTGGGACATTGTTCCCATGTGCATTGGTGCATGGATCGCATCGTTGTTGCACAACAGTGCAATTCTGTTGTAAGGTGGTGTAGCACAACTATGGGGCCATGCCATGACTAAAGTTACTTTATAGTTGTATCTACACTATGGAATGAAGGCAGGTTGACACTACTTGGACTGCTGCGGCTCAGTGCTATGGAGTCATGAAAGTTGTACTATTTTTATTCAATAGTTTTTTATTTTATTATTTGTTTCCCGCACAATGTACAGTAGGGAGATGGAGAAAGGAAGGTAGGATTTATTGATGTGATCGTTAGTAATTTCATAGATTCATTTAACAGATTTTAACAAATGTCTGATAAAGATAAAGGTAAAGTTTTTCCCCTGACATTAAGTCCAGTCGTGTCTGGAGGTTGGTGCTCATCTCCATTTCTAAGCAGATGAGCCAGCACTGTCCATAGACATCCCCAAGGTCATGTGGCCAGTATGACTGCATGGAGTGCTGTTACCTTCCCTCTGGAACGGTACTATTGATCTACTCACATTTGCATGTTTTTTAACTGCTCGGTTGGCAGAAGCTGGGGCTAACAGCGGGAGCTCACCCCACTCCGTGGATTTGAACCGGTGACCTTTCCATCAGCAAGTTCAGCAGCTCAGCAGTTTAACCCACTGTGCCACCGAGGGCTCCATAAATCATCTGTCTGATAAATGTCTGATAAATCATCCCAAAAAAACAAAAACAAAAAAGGAGGTTGGTGAGGAGAGCAGGTACGGAACCTTTTGAAACATTACCTTGCATTACATTCAGTAATGGAGTCATGAGAGTTGTAGTTTTATAGGTCTTCTTTGCTAAAGTGTTCTGGTGACTCGTCAAACTACAAATCCCATGATTCCATAACACAGAGAGCAGTTAAAGCTGTGCCAAATGACATCAATT